TGTGCCACCACACCCAGCTTCCTTACATATTGAGTCACGCAGTATGGCCTCTTTTCTCCTCTTCCTCCCCCTCCCCTTCCCCTCTCTCTCCCCTAACTTGCCCCAGGACAGACATGAACTGCAGATCTTTCTGCCTCAGCCTCTCAGAGACCTGGGATGACAGTATTACACAATTTTTTTTTGTCTTTTTGAGACAGAGTCACTATACAGTTCAGGCTGGCCTCGATCTCACTCTGTAGCCCAGGCTGCCCTTGAAACTCGCAGCAATCCTTCTGCCTCAGCCTCCCAGTACGGGAATTACAGGTGTGTGGCACTGTACCCAGCTTGACAGTACTACACCATTACACAGGGTTGATTTCTGGATTTTATTTTTTTGTTATTTTGAGTCTCACTATACTGTCCAGGCTAGTCTCTAACAAGGGCACCTCCTGCTTCATCCTACTGAGTAGCTAGGATTAAGGGTAGTGCCACTTCCAATAGCTTAAGGGTAGAGGGTTTTTTGTTTTGTTTTTTGAGACAGGGTCTGGCTGTGTATCTCAAACTAGCCTCAGACTTGCAGTGATCCTCCTGCCTCAGCTTCGTGAGTCATGGGTTTACAGGTGTGCACCACCGTGCCCAGGGAGGATAGGGATTTCTGCTAAAGGGACTTGGCAGGAATCTTGCTCAAAGTAGACTCTTCAAGGAGAGGAAAACACAAGGCTAACCTAGTCAGTCAGAGGCCGCAAAGGAGTCTGACTAATGTTTTGGTCAAGACAGTCTTTGTCAGAGGTCAGGGGATGGGACTATCTGGGGCAGATGGAGTAAATATTTTCTATACCTAGGAGATAGCTGAGCAGTGACCTAAAGGAAGCCAGGGAAGGACCCACACAAGTATGTGGAGGAATAGTATTCTAGGCAGAAGGCACAGCCATGCAAAGGCCCTGGGGCAAGACAAAGCCTGGCATGGTGCAGGAGCAGTGAGGAGGCCATGTGAGAGTGAGGAGTAGAGTGAGGCAGAGGAAGGAGGGGCAGAGAGGGAGCAGGGCAGGCGGGAAGGGGATGGGCAGGTCGTGCCTGGCCCTGTGGGCTGCAAGGGGACCTGGGCTTTGGCCCCAGGGAGGTGGGAGCCATGGAGGGCTAAGGGCAGAGGAGGGACCACCGGACTTGGTGCTCACGTCTCACCCTGGTGGCCACTGCAGGGAGGACAGGCTGTGGAGAAGGAGCGTGCAAGGTAGGAACCAACTTTAAAAAGTGACAGATCCCCCAGCTCCCAGTTCACGGGGACAGCAGGAACCCCATGTGTGAGCAACAGTCATCGGGTCCTTTGCACGGCCGCAGGGGACTCTGCAGACCTGGGCAACCAATGCCAACCCCTGTTCACTCCACTGCCTGTGGCTGGAGTACCCTCAAGAGTGCTTGGTTTCTTGAGACTGCTGTGGCAGCGCACGGCTGTGATCCAAGCACTCAGGAGGCTGAGGCACAACTGTCACAAGTTCAAGGCCAGCCTGGACTACACAGTGAGTTCAAGACCTGCTTGAATTACATAGCGAGACCTGTCTCAAAAAACCAAAAGCAAAGCTGGGAGTGGTGGCACACGCCTGTAATCCCAGCATGGGAAGGCTGAGGCAGGAGGATCATTGGGAGTTCAAGACCAGCCTGGGCTACAAAGTGAGCCAAGGCCAGCCTGAACTGCATAGCGAGACCCTGCCTCAAAAAGACAAAAAAAAAAAAAAAAAAGAAGAGGAAAAAGAGGAGGAAGAAGAAGAAGAGGAAGAGGAGGAGGGAGGGGAGGAGAGGGGAAGAAGAGGAGGGGGAGGAGGAAGAAGAGGAGGGGGAGGAGAAAAACACTGGGACATGCTAAATTGCCCAAGTTGGGCTTGAACTTGTGATCCTTGGGCCTCAGCCTCTCAGAGTGCTGAGATGACAGGTGTGCACCATGGCGCCTGGGTGAGCCTCCCTCCTTTCTTCATGGCTGAGTGCTATATGTCCCAGTATGGATGGGCCATGCTGTACACAACCATTCACCTGCTGAGGGACTCATTTCCACTCTTTGACTGTCATGGCTAATGTTGCTATGGACACAAGTGTGTAAGTATCTGGGTCCACGTTCTCACTTCCTCGTATACATATATCCAGGAGTGGAATTACTGGGTTGATAGTGTTTCCTATGTTATATATATTTTTAGGAAGCAATACACACCTGGAATAATTACTGTCTGAGATAAAGTCTCAAGTGTGGTGACGTGAGTTGATAGAGAAAGTCTCAGCTACTTTGGGGAGGCTGAGGCAGGAGAATTGTTTGAGCCCAGGAATTCAGCCTGGGCAATATAAAAAAATTGTCTTGGGCTGGGGATAGGGCTCAGAGGCACAAGTGCCTGCCTGGCAAGCTCAAGGTCCTGAGTTGATTCCCAGTACCAACAAAACACACATACACTAAAGAAAGATTGACTTTTCTTGTTCGTTTTTTAAAAAATTTTACTTATTTATTTTTGTCTTTTTGAGACAGGGTCTCACTATGCAGTTCAGGCTGGTCTTGAGCTTACTTTGTAGCCCAGACTGGTCTTGAACTTGGAACGATCCTCCTGCCTCAGCCTCCCAAGTGCTGGGATTACAGATGTGCGCCACCACGCCCGGCATTAAAACTGTCTCTTAAAAACAAAGTAAAACAAAACACAATTCCCAGCTGATACTGCATAAACCCCACAAAGTTGCAAAGAGCCAACATTCGTCCGTCTTTTGCTCCTCCCTCTTTCCCATTTTTTAAATTAACTTTACTGGTACAATTTAGATATATACAATAATCACATTCATCGTAGGGTTTTTTTTTTTTTGTCTTTTCTTCCAGTACCAGGAACCGAACTCACGACCTTGCGCTTGCCAGGCAGGCACTCTGCCGCTGAGCTAAATCCTTAGCCCCAATCATCATATGGGTTTTGTACCTGTACATAATGTACCTTGATTTGTCTTTTTTTTTTCCCTCCTTCCTATTTCTACCTCATCCTCAAGGGCCAACATGGAGTCTCACCAGCTTCACCTCCCACTAAGGGTTAGAAGGAAACAAGAAGAGAGGAAGGGCGGGTATGTACTTATAACTTGTCCCATTGGCCAGAATTTAGTCATGTGACCACATAGCTACAAGGAATGCTGGTAAATGTAGTTTTTAATGGAAGAGGCCATGTGCTTTCTAAAATGGGGCGTTTGATAACTAAAGATAACGCAGAAAACGAGTGTTGGGGGGCGATTAATCATTTTTGCCACTGCATGAAACTGTTGGGGCTCTGAGATACTTGCCTTCATGCAAGATTTGCAATTCAGATTTTTTTTTTTTTTTTTTTTTTTTGTCTTTTTGAGACAGGGTCTTGCTATGCAGTTCAGGCTGGCCTTGAGATCACTTTGTAGCCCACACTGGTCTCCAACTTGCCGGGATCCTCCTGCCTCAGCCTCCCAGAATGCTGGGATTACAGGAGGCGTGCACCACCATGCCCAGCGGCAATTCAGATTTTAACTCACCAAAACATCCTGGGAAATACATAAAAATACTCCCGTTCTCCCCAGCCCCCATGGAGACTGTAAACAGGATCTCATGTATTTAAATATTATTTTATTATTATTGTTTTGAGACAGGGTCTCATTATATAGCCCAGGCTAGTCTTGAACTCACAGTGACACCCCTGCCTCAGCCTCCCAAGTGCTGGGCTGACAGGTGTGTGCCACTATGCCCCATTTAAATTTTATTTTCATATTGTGTAGTACTGAGTTAATCTGGGGCCTTCACATGGAGCTACTTCCCCACACTTTATTTTTAATCTTTATTTATTTATTTTTGTTTTTTGAGACAGGGTCTCGCTTTGTAGTGTAGGGTTAGCCTTGAACTCACCGTGTAGCCCAGGCTGACCTTGAATTTATGGGGCTTCTTCTGCCTTAGCCTCCTGAGTGCTGGAATTACAGGCTTCTACGACCACACCTGGCTATTTATTTATTTTCAGACAGGGTGTCACTATGTTGATAACTTGCCCAGGCTGGCCTTAAATTTGAGATCCTCTTGCCTCAGCCTCCCAAGTAGCTGGGGTTATTGGTTACTGACATGCACACAGGCAACACTCCAGACCCAAATGCAGGCTTTTTTTTTTTTTTTTTTTGTCCTTTTGAGACAGGGTCTCGCTATGTAGTTCAGGCTGGCCTTGAGCTTACTTTATAGCCAACGCTGTCTCAAACTCACGACCTTCCTGCCTCAGCCTCCCAAGTGCTGGGATTACAGGCCTGCGCCACCACGCCAGGCCTAAATGCAGGCTTTCTATATCCCACATTTTTTAGGTGGGTGTGGTGGTACACACCTGCAATACCAGCAGTGAGAAGGCTGAGGCAGGAGGATCACCATGAGTCATTTTTGTTTTGTTCTGATTTTGCTGCTGGGAATCAACTCAGGACCTCACACTTGCCAGGCAGGCATTGCGCCACTGAGCTAAATCCAGGGCCCAGGATCACCATGAGTTTGAGGCCAACCTAGACTGCCTAGCAAGACACTGTCTCAAAACAAATCTCACTTTTTTCACTTGATCTTAGCCAAAAGGCTGAGAAGAGATAAATCCCACTTTTTTTGGGGGGGGGGGCTGGAATTCTTCTGTACAGGAACTTCTACTTATCACCAGGGCTATTTGATCCCGTAGACTGTCTGGGTACAGGAGCAAAGCTGAACAAATGCTTAATTCTTTCCCTTGAAAAGCCTGCTTTGAGAAATAAGAGGTGGGTGCCCTAGTTACCTCCAAAGTAGTCTGCAGTGCTTCTCTCCTGTCAGGCATCATTCTGAGCTTGTGGGTTCTTGTACACGCAATGTTTGATTGCGATCCTTTCACCATTCTTTTTTTGTTTTTTTTTTTGTTTTGTTTTGTCTTTTGAGACAGGGTCTCACTATGCAGTTCAGGCTGGCCCTGAGCTCACTTTGTGGCCCAGGCTGTTCTCAAACTCACAACGACCCTCCTGCCTCAGCCTCCCAAGTGCTGGGATTACAGGTGTGCACCACCATGCCTGGCTCTTTCACCATTCTTTGAAATCTAAGCTCCTCTATTTTTTCACTTATTTCATTGAGTCTAACAGTGTCACCCAGTCCAGTCTGATGGTTCACACTTGTCATCCCAGCATTTGGGAGGCTGAGGCAGGAAGATCCATAAATGTGAGACTAGCCTGGCCTACATAGTGAATTCAAGGCCAGCCTGAAAAAGAAACTTACCCAATTTTTTTTTTTGGTCCTTTTGAGACAAGGTTTTGCTATGCAGCTCAGGATGGCCTGGAACTCACAGCTATCCTCCTGCCTCAACCTCCCAAGTGCTGGGATTACAGGGCATGCATCACTATGCCCAACTATTACCATGGTTTTATGTACAGTGTTAGTAAGAAAGAAGGCCAGAACGGTGGTCGATGAATGTAATCCAGATACTTGGAGGCTGAGGCAGGAGAGCGCCAACTACAAGGCCAGCCTAGGCAACTTACTAAGACCCTGTCTCAAAGTAAAATAAAGTAAGGACTGGGGATTTAGCGTAATAGTAGCTCATGCCCAAGCTCTTGGGTTCAATACCAGTACCACAGAAGAAAAAAAATATATACAGTTAGTTGTCCTTATCTATAGAGACTATCAAATGTAAGTACATTTTTAAAAACTACAGGGTAGGGCAGGAGATATAGCTCAGCAGCATAAGCGCCTAGCTGGCAAGCGCAAGGTCCTCAGTTCAATTTCCGGTAACAAAAAAGAAAACAAAAAAGAAAACAAAAACAACTCCAGGGCTGGGGAGTGTGGCTCAGTGGCAGAGTGCTTGCCTACCATGTTGAAGGCTCTAGGTTCAAACTCTAGCACCACTTAAAAACAAAAACAAAAAACAACTCCATCTGGGGCAGGAGGTGTAGCTCAGCAGTAGACCAAGTGCTGTTCGAGGACCTGGGCATCAAAATAACAAAAATTTCCTCTGTATTGTACAGTACAGACTTCTTCCTTGCCATGTTCTTTATAGCCTAACAATTACTTAATGCAACACTTTATTAGAAACCATAAGTCACCTAGAGGTTTTTTGTGTGTTTGCTTTTTTTTTTTTTTTTGAGACAATGTCTTTCTATGGAAAGACTGTTCACAGCAGTCTTCCTGCTTCACCTTCCCTGGTGCTCGGAAGACAGAAGTGCGCGCCACCATGCCCATCTGCAAAAAAACAGTGGTCGAGGGGCTGGGGATTTAGCTCAGCGGCACAACAACTGCCCCGCAAGCGCAAGGTCGTGAGTTTGATTTCCGGTACCGGAAAAAAACTCAAAAAC